AAAGTGCTGCTGATTAAAGTTTTAGATTCTCCTCCAAGATCCATGGCTTCACTAACCCTGGGTATTTGGGTAGGTTTCCAGTATTGGCATCATTTGCTTCTTGCTGATCAGGTTTTAAGAGAGCTGTTGGTTACTGCCAAGGTATGTGTACCACTACTGCACCCTTAGGATTATTGTGCCATGCTGGTCATTGGGTTTCCTAAGCATCATAGCTGGGTAGGACTGTTGGTTGTGTCCTTCCTTTAGAAGCTTCTGGTACTGTAAAAGCTAGTTCTCAGGGAGGAGGTATTCATATCAGTTCCAGATCAGGGGCCTCTGGGTCTAGTGTTTGAAGTGCATGGCGTCCTTTTACCTCAGGACGACAACCAAGGGCGATAGCAATAGGCTGCATGTTTGGGGGGTCTCTGGACAACCAACAAAACTCAAAAGAGGGCTTCTCATACCGTGGTTTATGTTAGATGATCTTTGCCTCTTGGAGGGAACATTGTTAACCCAAACATTTAGTTATGTATTGAAAGAAGGGATGAGAGGGAGGTCTGGATACTGCATTTGCCCACAAAGGACCCTACCTGACCACTGCTACAAAAGTTTCTGTCGCCCAGGCCTGCCCACACATGTCACAGTTGGCCCCAAGACCTCTCATTGTCTAGCTGTGGAAGAGACCCTCTATGTCAGCCCTAACATGGGACATTATTCCCCACCTTGAGTTAAGCTTGGGGAAAGTCTTCTAAGTACATATGCCAGTATAATCTTCCCATGCCTCATCTCCCCCTTCCCAAAGGCAGGTTAGCATCTTCTTGGCTCAAACCTACCCAGTGAGCCTTTCTAATTTCTTGGATTCATGTTCCCAGAACACCCCAAGTTGAGGCAGCTCAGGAAAGCTGAAGGTCTTATGATAGTGATCTATGCGTGGATGGGGGCCTCACATAACCATTTCAGTATGTGGGTCCCAGCCAGGGAAGTTGGTGCTTAGCTTGTATCTCATGTGAAAGCAGGACATGTCTAGCCCTTTACTCCGCATAGGAGCTGGCAGCTGAGAGAGAAAAGGAGGAGGTCTCCTCCCTGTTTCCATGGTGCCTCCTGGATGTCCCTGGACAAAGTCCTGAAGGTGTGGCCCATCTCTTCCCTCCTTGTAACCATCCTGTGAAACACCACCTGTTTTTGACACTCAGGAAAAGTGGGTCCCAAGACATGCCACACGTCTACTGGACAGCAAGGACACCTTTGGAGGCTACACTATTCAACTTCAAAACTCTTAACAGGGATTTGTGAAGAGGCTAGGAGCGTGGCTTGGGAACAAAGGCCCTTGGTATCAGAGGAGGCACAGAGATGAGGTTGCCATCTGCTGTGATGAATGCCATGGGGTGTGAAAGAAGCACCCACTCTCTTTCCATCTCTCCTTCCCCCTTCCCTTCCCTCCATCTGCAAATGCTCATTGACCTCAAGAGAATGCTGTGGTTCAGTTGCCAAAACACAGTCTCTACCCTCAAGAGTCTCTGTGGACTAACTTGTTTGCTGATGTTTCCCTAGCCCCAGGAGGACAGCGTCCTAAGAAAGAGGCTTGTGGGAAGGATAAATATAAACAAACCCCAAGACTACAAATGCAAAGCAGGATTGGATGCCTCAGCCAGCGCTACACTGAGAAGAATGTGAGTGTTAGACAAAATAAGAGCCTTGCATTAGACAAGACCTGAGCCATTGCTAGCCAGCACACAGTTGGAGATAAGGCTATGGTTGAAGACAGAGCTGGTCCTCGGTGGCAGCCCTGGTGTGCCTTAGTTCTGACTGCAGCAGCAGACAGCTGGCTCATCTTCTGCATCCTCGGTTTCAGGGTCCCAGCCACCCAGGACAGGAGAAACGGAGCCTGTTCAGGCTAAGCACGGCCAAGTCACACACCAAGGTCTAGGCCACACAATGTCCTCATCTGGGAGGTTGCTACAGGTTGTCTTGTCTTCAGAGCCTGGGGACAGGGTGGAAACTTGGCTTAACAAATACCCACCCAAATTCATAAGTGTGGTGACCAAATGTTCTAGTAGTTCATGGTTGCTATGGAGCAACCTTTCCATAGACACTGGTAGGTCTGTGTTGGCAAAGCTGGGTGTCCCGGGGTGTTCTCAGTATGGCAGCTGCCTCAAAGCCTAGGAAAGTGTGGTCCTGAATTGAGGACAAGATTTTGTCAGAGCAAGGCCCACTCGCTCTTCAGTGTAGCACCTCTTCCTTAAACCTCACTGATTTGGCACGGTGTGGGCACTTTGCTACGAACAGCCTCCTCCCTTCCCCCAGAAGTTCCCATGGGGCTTTGCTGTATAACCTCATTGCAGTAACTTTGGGGACAGAATAATTGGAGATGCTAACATTTGCAGAATCCACTTGAACCTACTCACAGTGCTAATTAAGATGATTCACTGCTGGCTCGGAGGTGTTCCATTGGGTTTAGCACGTTCTGGCCATTCCTCACTCTGGCGCAAATAAACTGCCCAGGGCTTCTCCCTACCAGGCTCCTAAATTTAGTGGGGTTTGTTCACCTTCATGGGAAGATCTGGTTCTGAGGGTCCCAACTCCTGGTAGCTTTGTCCAAGGCAGAGCCATCTCTTAGGACCCCGCCCCATAAGCATTTGATTCTTCGTATTCTTGGTTCTCTGTTCTTGTTGATCCCAAAGACTTGTGACAGTCCCATATTAAGATTACTGAGCTCCTGTTAGGAGCTGGGCCCTGTGAATAACACATTTGGGAATGAGGAAGGTATACAGTAGTAGGGTTTTTAGAACAGTGACAGATGATTAAAGAAATGGTTCCCAAGGCAGTAGAAGAGTCAGGCTGGAATAGAATAACCAGAGGGGTTGGGAGGGGGCTGGAGTAGAGAGCTTTACACGTTTAATAGAAAGTGAGGGCTAGACCAGTCTGGGATGTCTTGAAGAGAGAGAGCCATCAGAGGACAGATGGGCAACCAGTGCAAGTGTGAATGGGCTGTGTGAGGACATGGCCCTCCTGGGTTCAGTTGCAGCCGTTGGAAAACAATGGGGATGAAACCTGCTTCAAAATGCCCCAGCTGCCTACCCAGGGAACTGGACTGGTGTGAGCTCACTGGGCGCGGAAGCCAAGTGCAGTCCCATGCCTGCTCCATGGGACAAGGAGGCAGGATAATAAGGAGGCACACTGATTGGCCAACAGCAGATGAACTGGAGAGTAGATCCTGAGAGATCCAGGGGTACGGGTCTGTAGTTCTCTAGGGGGAAGGGTGAGGGCAGCTGAGGCTGGGGAAGCTCATGGGTGAGGAAGGTTGAAAAGAAAGGCAACAACTCCTCAGCTTGAGAGGAGAGCTGGGAGGGACCCCTGGGCCAAATGATAAAGAACCTTAAGTGCCTGACGGAGGAGCTTTAAGACCTAATCAGAATGCACAAACCCCAAGTATTCTATTTTGCAGCATAAGCTTTATGATATATAAAATAGCATGAAGGAAAAACACCAACACCGTGTTGGGCTGACTTAGAAATGGCCACGCCCATGACCTGTGGATCCCAACACTGTGAGTACCCTTAAAAGGGAAGGAAATTATAGATCTATAATTAAAGATCTGGGGTTGGCAGATTTGTGTCCATTATTCAGTGTCACTACAGGGGTCTCTATGTGAGGGAAGCAGAGGTCAGAAATGGTGTGTGATTCACTGATGGCTGCCAAGCTTGGATGGTGAGCTTTGAAGATGGAGAGAGAGACAGAAGCATCTGGAAGCTGAGACAGGGACAGGAACAGAGAGGCTCTCGCTGGAGCATCCTCCAGAAAGCAGCCCAACGACTACTGATTTTAAAACTCTCATGCTGATGATGCAAGAAGAATACATTTATGGCTTTTGAAATTATGGCCGTTGTGGTGACATATTACAACAGGTGCCACAAACACCCTTTGCCCAAACTCTGTCTTGGTCCTCACAGAGTTCTCTTACAAGTCCATGGGGAATGTTCCTAAGCTCACTAAGCTTTTACAAAGCGTATTTCTCCCACGTTGTAATGACTTCTCATTATAAGCAAATTTTTGTTTGTTGTGTTTTGTTTTGAGACAGTCTCACGGAGCTCTGGCGGGTAGAGAATAACCTTGAACGTCTCATCCTCTACCTCCCAAACACGAGGATTGCAGGTGTGTGTCACGGCGCCTGGTTTATTCCCTGCTAGGGATTGAAGCTGGGACTTCACACATGCCACCAACTGAGTCACACCCCTTGCCCCATGATCAGATTTTTAAAATGGAGGATGACATAACCAGAGCTAGGTTTCAGGAAGAAAATGATTCATGCTGAGCCCAAGCCCAGACACCAGAACAGTTCTTCGTAAAAGTAGCTAGGGACCAGGCTGGAGTGGTGGAGGTGCCTTGGATAGACTCACATTTACCAGATCACAAATTAGCAGGCGGCACTTGGCCCCTGTCTTCCCTAACAGTGATGCCTAGGTGTTTTGTGTTCACCTCTATGAGCCCGTGGGGGCAATTTTTATTCAAACCACCACACTCCACTCCCTGGCACCCACAGGCATGTAGCCGTATCGTGATACAAAAAAGCACTCAGCCTAACTTCAAAATGTCCCATAGTCTATCAGTCTCAACTCTGTTTAAAAGCCTTAAGTTTGGGGCTGGAGAGATGGTGCAGTCATTAAGAGCACTGATTGCTCTTCCAGAGGACCTGGGTTCAATTCCCAGCACCCACATGGCAGCTCATAGCTGCATGTAACTCCAGTTTCAGGGAACCCAACAACTTGACACAGACACACACACACACACACACACACACACACACACACACACACACATATATATATATATATATATATATATATATATGCAGGCAAACCATAAAATGCACATGAAATAAAAATACGTAAATTATTTTTATTAAAGAAGGCGCTTTTTGTTTTTTTAGTTCAAAGTCTCTTCTGAGACTCATGGCAATCTCTTAACTATAATCCTCTATAAAATAAAAGAAGTATCACATATTTCCAACATATAATGCCACAGTATATACATTGCCATTCCAAAAGGGAAGAAAGGAACCAGGAACATGATGAGGAAATACTGAACCAAAACTTGACTGAAAACCAGCTGGGTAAACTCCAAACTCTGCATCTCTAAGGCTGATGTCAAAGTGCCCAAGAAGCCCTCAGATCTCCAACTCTTTTCAGCTTTATTGACTGCAACACCCTTCTTTCTCTTAGGGTGGTCCCACCCTCTTTTAGCCGCTCTCCTTGGTAGGTATCCCGTGGCTCTGGCGTCTCCAACATCTTAGAGTCTCCAAGCTGATCCAGGCTTCATGTTCATGGCTTCACCCATGGCCTCTCTTGGCCTAGTGTCAGCGGCTTTCCTTACTTGCAGAGGGAGATTCCATAACCCTTTTCTCCTATCCTTGTCTCTAAAGCCAGAACCATATGGCCAAAGGTATCAAATTCTGCTGCCTGCTGGGACTGGAGCATGGACCCCTTGTTTGAATACATTTTCACCAACTTTTTGTTTGCAATAGCTTCCTTCACTAAGTTTGGCTGTCCTTGAACTCAATACATACACCAGGCTGGCCTCAAACTCAGAGACTCACCTGCTTCTGCCCCCAGAATGTGGGAATTAAAGGTGTGTGCATAGTCTGTATAGAAAAGGGACACCAAGAAGTGTAAACAGATTAAGAAAAACCCTGATGCGAGTTGGAATAAAGGTCAGAAAGCAACCACATTCTTCTCCAAAATATCATAATCCACATATTAAAATTCATCTCTGAAACGTCTTGACCAGGTGCCCAGTTCAAATCCCCCTCAGCAGCACCACTGTCTCCCATGCTCCTATTAGTATGGCCCATTAAGCCTGCTTTTCTAATCCACAGACCCCAAACATGATCAGGGTTATCACAGCAATGCCCCAGTCCCTGGTACCAACTTCTGTCTCAGTTTTATTGCTGTGAAGAGAGAGCATTGCTTGACCTGGTTTGGGCTTCTGAAACCCCAAAGCCCACCCGCAGTGACACACTTCCTCCAACAAAGCCTTGTCTCCCAGTAGGACCACTCCCTGTGAGCCTGTGGGGGGTCATTTTCATTCAAACCACCACAGGTGGGGACTATATCAGACAGTCTTAAGACCATCCTCCACCCCAGGAAAAGTATGCACTCGATAGGATATAGAGATAACTGCTTTGTGCTAGGTTAGTGTGTCAGACATTTTGCCTTTTGTTTGGGCTGACACCAGTTCTGTGGAAAGAAAAATAAGACTGCCAGGATTTCTCTTAAGTCTCTTGAATTCATCACTGTGTGTCTGCAGGGTACCTTGTTCCTAGCTGGTCTGAGTTGAAGTGACTATCAGCAATGTTGGACCTGTCTTCCAATTCCTTCAAGGGTGAAATTGAGTCTTCCTGGTTGGGGCTCTTCTCAGAGTAGAGGGTGTCCCCTGACCCCTCCTCCTGTGTGTGGCCACCTTCATGGGTGTGGGTGGAGCTTCCAACACATGGGAAAGAAAGGCACAGTGTCCCCTTCACAAGACATGGTGGACCTGCCCTGGAGACATTCAACACAAACTTCTGAGCAGACACACCTAAGAGATGAAGGGGGAGCAGAGCATGGCCTTGGAGACCATCAACCACAGACTGTTCCACATTCTTAGCGGTGAGTCCTCTGGAGATCTTTAGTCATCCGTGTCCAAGTGGAGGGAACAGCAGGGAGCTGTGTGCTGAACACAAACAGGCAGTGCTAGGTCTTCTCCGAGCCAAAGGAGGAATGGCCACCGCAGCCTGAAGGGTTTGCATCAGGGAAGGAGTGAAAGGAGATGGGGCGGACTGACAAAACAAAAACAAACCCTGGGGTCTGCGGGCTGACAGTGCCCCCTGCATCAGATGGAACATCCAATGCAGAGTTGGGTTCCATGTGAAGTGTCCCTCGAAACTCTTAAGCATGGCCTTCTTTGGAAAACAAGGCCTTTATGGATAAAAGATGAAATCAAACGAATTACCTAAATCCAATGGCAGGTGTGATAGGAGACCCACGGGGAGAGGCATGGATAGAAAAGAAAGGTTGAGGTTGGCCTGATGCAACTACATGTTAGGAGCAGGAGGTACCCAAGGGCTGCAGAGACAGGAGTGGCTTCCCCTGGGGCCTCAGGAGGGAGCCAGCCCTGTTTCACCTCCATTCAGACTTCTGGCTTCTAAAGCCAGCACTGAACAGATCATCTCTGCTGTGGGGGTCACCCAGTGGGTCGAATCCTCACAACAGTTCAGTGACACTCCAGTAGAGGAGAAGGGTAACTGCCCCAAGCCCCCAGTGGCTCAGAACATGAGTCTAGAGGCAGGTGGTATTCTCCTACTCTGATTTCTCTCCCAGGGAGGCAACCCATTCTTTCAAGTCTTCACCATGCCCTCCAACCCTTGGCTTGGTCCCTCTGTCACATGGCTCTGGGCACCAACTTGTGGGACTTGTGGGCAGGATTAGGATGTATCACTCCAGAGGCTAAGGTCCCACATGTTAGGGGTGCCATCAGAGCAGAAGGTCCTGTGGGTTGGAGAACTGGTCCCTTGCCCTCTGCCCAGAACTGAGACTGAGTGCAGACAGGAACCCCTGAGTTGATCTATGATCGGTGCCTAGCACCTGCTGCCAAACATCAGCCATGTCAAACCAAAGAAGTTAGTTTCCCATGGGAAGACCCCTAACCAGAAGTGTAGTAAATAATTTGCTACCTAGAGACTTCTGGAAGATGCATTTGATGGAATAACCACAGACTCTAGTTCAAACTCCACGCATTTGTAGAAAATGTCTGAAGCTTCCAAATAATGAAGAAATGAAGCTCTTGGCTTGCCTCAGATGCCACCTCCATGCTCCCCATATCCAATTAACCACACGTCCCTACCAAGTCCCAGTGTGATCTGCAAGACAGACCTCAGATTAATTTTTTATGGAGCATCAGGCTGTAAATGATTTTTCTATTTACTTATGTAACTCCTACATAAAAGATGATGGTATTTAATCAAATATGGACCAACTGCAAATTATGCTAGATAAACAGAGTGAAAAAATTCAATATGCTATTGACTGTACATACACATGCGTATATATATTATTGATATATATTTAAGAGTAGTGATCTATTCACATTGTGGAATAGTTACATATTTTGAAAACACCGGCTTGTGGCCTAGTAAAATTTCAGTGTTGTAATCCTGTTAAAATCAGGAGTATGTTGGAACACATAGTTTTTAAAATTGTGTTCCCACTTACTTCAGTATCTCTAAGTTCCTAAAAGCCTCCCAAAACCTCTCAGAAGAGCGGCACTTACTTTAATCAGTAACCTTGAAGTCTCCAATGTGAGGGCTCTCAGCTGAGGAGGACATCTCCAAACCAAGCAGCAGGCATAGGGCAACATCTAGAGATTTTTGGTTATCACAGCTTCTGTTGGTATCTGCAAGGCAGAAGCCAGATGTACACTAAACAGAGAATCAGCCAGCCCCAAAACTGTCAACAATGCTGAGGTGGAGAACCTGGTCCTGATTCAGTGTCTGGTGCAAATGCAGCCTTGACGTGCATGGAGGATGGAATTTGATGTCAATGCAGGATTTTTCACCTCTCATGCATCTGTGTCTCCCACTGCAGGGACTTTTTTCCGTCTTCCCTTTCACCTTAGCATGTCTCTGTATTTAGTACACAACCTTGGTGTGCTGGATAGCTTTATGTCAACTTGACACAGCTAGAGTCATCTGAGACTCTAAGAAATGCTTCCATAAGATTGGGCTGTAGGCAAGCCTGCAAGGCATTTTCTTAACTGATGATTGATGAAGGAGGGCCAGACTATTACGAGTGGTCCCGTCCCTGGGCTGGTGGTCCTGGGTTCTATAAGAAGACAAGTCATGGGGAGCGAACTGCTAAGCAGCATCCCTCCATGGCTTCTGTATCAGCTAGTATCTCCAGGTCCCTGCCCTGTTTGAACTCCTGTCCTGACTTTGTCCAGTAATGAATAGTGATATGGAAGTGTAAGCCAAATAAACCCTTTTCTCTACAACTTGCTATTTGGTCATGATTCTTTTAGCATAGCAATAGAAACCCTAAGACACTTGGTATTGTTTTCAGGGATGGCCCCTCTCTACTAGCTTGAACCCTCTGCACAAGCTCCATACTCATTGAGGTTACCACACTTGCTCAGGATAGTTGTTGGTTGGATTCTTCTGCCCCAAAGGCTTCCTGTACCACCACCCGAGCTTGCTTATTCCTGTCTTGACACAAATTATGCAAGACCCAGAGCCTACATGGTTTTGTGGGTAGATGTTTGCTCTCTGGCTGACTGCATGGTTAGTTACATGAGACAATGGATGTTTTTGTCTGTATATGGATGGCTGGATGGGTAGATAAATAAGCATGTGGCAAACAGGTAGGTGGCTAAATGGATGAGTGGTAGATGGATGGGTGAGCAAATGGAGATGCAGATGTATGAATGGGTGGATAGGAGGATATACAGATAGGTAGGTGAGTAGATAGATGAGTGAGTGGATGGATGGTTGGATGCATGGATGGATGGTTGGTTGGATAGATAGTGGTGATGCCTGTACAGATGGACAGATGGATGGATAAATGGATGAATGAATAGGTAGGTAGAAAGATGTGTGGAAGAATGTATGTCAGTATGTATAAGTATGGGTGGGTGGATAGATTGTTAGGCAAATGGATCGGTGGGTGGGTGGGTGGATGATGGATGGATGGATGGATGGATGTGTGAGGGGTGGATGCCTGTAAAGATGGACAGATGGATGGATAAATGGATGAATAGGTGGGTAAGTAGAAAGATAGGTGGAAGAATGTATGTCAATATAGATGGATGGGCAGGCAGATGGATGGATGGATATGGGATGCCTGAGAAAAAAATGGCATTGAGTAAAACCCAGCATTCTTAATTTTAGCTCCGAGAATATGATTTTTTTCTGTTTTTCTTTTTTCTTTTTTAGTTTTTACGAGACAGGGTTTCTCTGTATTGTTTTGGAGGCTGTCGGTCCAGCCTGGCCTCGAACTCACAGAGATCCACCTGCCTCTGCCTCCCGAGTGCTGGGATTAAAGGCATGTGCCGCCACCGCCTGGCAAGAATGTGATTTTTAGTATAAACGTTCACTAAATAATGTATAAGGTATGTTCATGATAAAAAAAGTTTGTTTATCCCAAATTCAGGTTTAATTAGTTTTCCATAAACCCTGAACTGCAGGAAGAAGAAGTAAAGGCCTCTTCTCTCTCCACAGACACCATGGGGAGCTCTGAGACACTCTGAAGACCACGCAAGAAGGCTGTTACTCAGTGGCCTGTGTGCTGCTTCTGGGTCTTGAAAGCCGACAGGGTGGCCCAATTACCATAGCTCAGTGCAGACATTTGCAGGACTCTGGGGCCACCACTCATCAGTCCTATATCAAGGCCCCTTTCCTTGTCTCAGTAGGTCCCGCAAACCCTCAGAAACTCCCAGACATCCATCTGCAGAAGAGGGACCCTTGTCAAAAGCCTCTGATGTCAGCTCCCAGCTCCTTGGTGACAGCCCTGGCTCTGCTCTTAAAGGGCCAAGAAACCAACTGCAAAGTCTAGCACTCGTGGCCGATGTGAATATTTGTGCATCTGCGTATGTTTGTGGGGATTTGCCTATCCAGGAAACTACTTGTGAAAGTTTTGGTAAATGGCTGACCTCACCGCTGAGTATGGGAGGCAGCTAGCTCACAGCAGCCTGCAAATGGCTGGGGTGGGATGGAAGGGAGACTGGTTAGAAATGCAGCCACAGTTTGAGGGCCCTCCGAACTCCCCTGCAAGAGCAGGCAAGGACCAGCTCCTCCCACTGCCTTCCCAGCTGGTCACGCCCAGCCAGAGCTGGCGCTGAAGAATCAATGATGCCCACAGCCCCTGGACTTACAAGCCGCTCGCCTGATGGTCCCCATCTGGTAAATCTTCCTGGGTGTTCTGCCCGTTGGCGCCAGCTGTGTTGGGAATACTTGCTCCACTCTGGACCCTGGGACAATTCGGGAAAGCTTCACACAGCTCAGCTCTGGTGCGTCAGGGGTCCTCCTGAAAAGAGGCATCTAAATACATCCTGAAAATAGAGGAATCAAGAGCAGCCAGCGGGTGCTAGACCAGGAAGAGGGGCAAGGATGTCAGTGGCCCTGGTATGACTTGAGGAGTAGAGGGGACACTCTACTTCTGCCCTGCCAGGCAGGGTAGGATAGGAGCTACTGTGCCATCCTGGCACAGCAACCTTCAGAGACAGACCCACAAAGTGAGAACCTTGCCCTTGCCCCAGCTATGTTAAGATCACCTGGGAAGCTGCAGAAAGCTTGGCTCTAGCCACCCTTTGAGCTGGGATGGCCTCCAGACGTGGATCGGTTTCAAAGCTTATCCCATGGATTCTACAGCAAGCCAGGGTATGGCCCTTAGGGGCCCAGGAGGCACTGACCCAGGGCCAGACCTCATGTGGCACTCTACCCTCGCTCCCTGAACGAAACACAGGTGGCACATGCTCTGCCTCCATTTCCAGGAAAGGCTCCACCTCCCCTTGGCTGTGAATGGTGAAAACCAGGAGCAGGGGTGACCCTCATTTCAAGCAGGAACAGTTTGGGTCTCCTCTCCTCTGGCTGCCAGCGTTGTCTGCTCAGCTGTCCCTAGCACTTAAGCTGAAGGCAGCTGTCGCTCCCAGCAAGTGTCCAGTCCTACTCTCTGCACAGTTTCCGGGACTTAATGGTCTTTCTCTGCTGAGTTGTAGGAAATGAGAAGTGAACTTGACATTGGAGATCAGCTTGCCCTGAATAAAGGAAATGAGACCTGGAATGTCGCCAGGGCCGCAGTTCTGCAGGTGCAAACTCACATCACTTTCCATCACCCACAGCCAAGGTAGGACCCCAAACCAGAGAACCTTACAAAAATAGACTCAGTAACAGATGCCATGGGCAATTATTAGTTTTCTTTGGGATGCTGAAATTTTCTTCTCACCCAGATATTTTTTGCTTTGCCGAAAATATCCTCCCTCAAACAAAAGACTCCTGGAGTTTAGTGGAGACAACCCCGCAGGGGTGGCTGGCCACACCCAGATGGTGTGTGACAAGGATGGGCATCTGTGGGTGGGTGGAGGGTGGATGTATGCTGGAGGCTTAGGCCACAGATGCAAGACCCAGGGGCACGGCACACCCTGGCCTCTCTCTCTTCTGCAGCCCAAAGGTGAACAAGAAAAAGGCAATTTTGGCAGAAGAAGCAACTGCCAAAAGAGGAAAAGAGAGGATGTGAATTGCATTTGACCCAGAGCTGGGAAGCGCTCAGCAAGCCTGGGGCTCAAGAGGGACTGACTCCCTGCTTTGTGGGTTAGGCGTTGACCCCATCATCCCCAAAGGGTGTTGACTTCCCACCCCCCAGCACCTGTGAGTGTGACCTTCTTTAGAAATGAAGTCTTTACAAGCATCAACAGTTAGGATGGGGTTGTCCTGGGGCATGGTGGCCCCCAGCCCAGTTGGCTAGTGTGCAGATGGGAAGATGGAGACAGAGACACAGGGGGAAGTTGTCTTGTGGCAGTGGAGGCAGAGTCTGGAGTAATGCCCCCTATGAAGCCAGCAGCCGCCACCAGAGTAGAGTGCAGCTTGGATCATAGCTGAAGGACCCAAGCCTGATAACACTGCATGATGGACCTCTGCCTTCAGAATTGTGAAGATATGATTCTGCTGTGATGTCTGCTCAGATGGGGAACTTTGTAGGTCACCCCAGGCACATACACTGAACCTCTTCCTTAGGGGGTGGTTCCCAGTCTCTCACTGCTCTCCTAGAAGTAACCGTGTTCCCCTCAGTGCTTTGTTTTGTTTTTTTAGTTTGTATGTCTCGTAGTGACCAGTCCCCCATTTTAGCAGCCATGACAGGCTACAATGTGCTTGCATGACCTTGCTGCTCCTGTCCTGGTCACTAGGTCAGAGGCCCTCCTCTTGGCAAGGAACCAATCAGAAGTTAGTTAACAAGTGCACAACTGTGCCGTGCAGAGCATAGCAACCACCCTGGGAGGGCCTATGGGCCATAACAATCAGTTGACCAATCAACACAGGGCAAGTCGTCCAAGCCTGGAAGCGCACCAATCCTGAGACTGTTTAATACCCCTAGACACTCCCCTTACACTGCCCTATAAGATCCCTGCCTCAAGGTTGCTCCGGGTCTTTCTCCAGCCATCCACCATGGTGGATGGATGAAGGACCCGAGCTTCACTTGTTAAATAACATTAATAAAAGACTCTTTGCTTTTGCATCAGAATGGGCTTCTTGGTGATTTTGGGGTTCAGAATTTGGGCACAACAATCTGATGTGTGTTCTGTGGTATATATACCTGTTAAAGTGAATGGAGCTCAAACACAGGCAGGAACGTAGGGGGCAGCTCTTTAGTTCTCCAAGACTGTCTTAGAGCTACATGAAACAGACGGAACACTGGAGCAGGGTCTGTAAGAGCAGACCCAGGAAGTCTCAAAAGCTGGCAGGCAGGAGTGAACAGCACAAATATGCCCCCCAGATGCCCACCTGGGCCTGACCCGAGCAGCACAGCTGAGCAGCTAGTGACCTGTGAAGCCTTCCTCCCTGGCCAAAGACCCACAACAGAGGCAGCCCAGCCATCCCACGGCCAAGGCTCAGATAAATCATATTCTCCTGTCTCCTGCCCAAGCCCCCATCCCAAGTGTGTGACTGTGGCAGGGGAAGGAAGTGGGTTTAGGAGACTCGGTGGTAGTGAAGTTCGCGTCTGGAAGCCAACGGGACTAGTGTTCAAGCCTTGCCACCATCACATCTAATTGTGACACTGAGAAAGAAACCTTGCTTCTCCGCTGAGATGGGGGAGGGGTTGTCTGCCCCTTCCCTTCTGGTCATCATTCGATATGCATTAAGCACTTGCCTAGTGTGGCTCCTGAAATATCTGGTATTTTATGTCAGGCCCCAGAAGACCTTGCATTTGGAGCAGGTCCAGCAGCCAAGGCTTGAAGCTCCTCTGCAGTTTGTATGTATAATCCAAACTGATGGCTAGAGTTAGGACCTCAGGATGGATGCCAAGGAGCCTAGATTCTTCTTGCCAGAGGCAAACAGAGAATAGGACGCCCAGGGATAAAGAATATAAATACACAGTAGAGGTGAGAACAGGAGCTTATTGGCATAGAGACTAAGGACCAGAAAGCACCCTTCTGGGGAAGGCAGCATCCCCAGGGCTGGTAGACAGCTAGTGATCTCTGAGCTGCCTTTTTATGGGGTCCCTGGACCCTCTCCTTCCCCCCCCCATTATCTCCTCTCCTTGGCTGGGGAAGATAACTAGGTAAGAACGCCACCCTCCCCCAATGCCCTTGCTGTGAGGTGGGGTGTTGCCTCTCCTTATAATCCAGCTGCTGTGTGGAAATGTTACCTAGTTCCCTCTAACCTCTTCCCTGACTGCCTGTTCCCCGCTAACTACGCCAAAACATCAGAATTTCATAGTACTGGCCCAGTGGCCCTGTTATTCACCCTGATACAACCCTCTGCTGACAGAACTGTGTTCTCCCGGGGAACCTGATGTCTTACCTTTCCGAGACCTTCTTCTCCAAGGCAGAAAAGTCTGGCTAAGAGCCACCCCCAGCCCTCGGCGTGCTAGGACGATGGTTCCATCCGCAAGCGAGCAGGGAGAACTGAGTTTGGACCCCAGCACCCACAAAAGCTGGATGTATCAGTGTGCACCTGCATGTAATCCCAGGGCTGTATCTTTGATCCCTGGGGCCTTGGCCAGCAAGCCTAACCAAATTAGTGAGCTCCAGGTTCAAGGAGAGACGCTGCCTCCAAAAATAAATAAATGAGTAAAAAGTGAAAATTAAAATAAGGCAGAGTGGGATTGAGTGAGGCACCTGACATTTTCCTCTGACCTCCATAGATGCATGCACAAGTGCACCTGTACCACACACATTCACACATGTACAAACACATACATGTACAAACACATACAAGGAAGCCCTGGATGAGAGTAAGCATGAATGCCACGAATAACCCTGTTCTTCACCCCCCCCCAACCACAGAATCTGTCCACCCCAGGCCTGGACCTGGAAGGGACAGTCACCCACATCTCAGGTTCCTCTGGCTTTGGGAGTAGATGACCTGCCCACCTCTCTAGCTCATCCACTGTCCCCTCTCCCCAGGAAGGGTAAGGGACATTGTTTTCCCTTAGCCTCCCTCATCCAAGGGAGGATGGGAATTTACAGAAATGGGTTTCAGTGCACTTTGGGAGTTTGCAGAACCTGCTGGCTCTCTCATGCACGGACTGCCCGGTCATTAACAGACTTTGCCAAGGTGGGACTGTCATCCGGAACATGACTGCTGTCCAGCGTCTCTGCACAATTCCAAATATGGTTCCACTGGTGTCTGGTGCCCACCCAGATCTCATCCGAGACACCACATCGGGCTCCGCATCCTGCGTCCTTGGGCTCCTAGAGCCAGTCACGAGCTCTTGAGGGCTTCTCAGCCTTCCTCTCCCCTGCAGTGTGCACAGCTGAGGGGGATGGGTTGAGCAGGCCTAGGCATCAGTCCCTTGGCCCGAGATCCTAGTCTCACAGGGCCTCAGCCCCAGCCCCTCCATACAGCCTGGCTGTGCCCTATGGACCTGTGCCCGAGGTGAGGGCAGGATGCAAAAAAGGTGGAGGAAAATGCATCTCCCCCCGCCCCGAGCGGGGGCCAGTCTCATGGCCACGCCTTGCTGCCTGCAAACACTCATTTTTCAGCCCTACCATTCTTCACTTTCAAGGGGCCTCTGATTCAAAATGAAGAATTGATTTAGTGCCAGTGATGGGGACCATCTCAACTGTGGTTGGCCTTGACTTTAATTAAAGTGACACTGAAGGGCGTGTGGTGACTGAATTATGGGGAAGGGCTGCTTCCTATAGCCTTAGTTAGAAAAGGACAGACAGAACAGCCGCTGCCATTATCTCCAGATGTCCCCACCTTCTGTGTCCCCACACTAGTTCCCAGGCCAGTCTTGATGTTGAGGAGCAGAGCCTCCCCTTTACTTCCCCTCCAGGGGACCTAGGTTCAACACTGAGCCTACAGGGTTTTTCCTCCTTCTAGTCTCTCCTAGTCTTCTGCCTTCCGTGTTCAGGCGGGCTCTAGAACCTTCTTATCAAATGCAAACCCCACCTCCACTCTCAGGCTTAGCTCAGCTGGGGCCTGTACTGTCCAGACAGACACAGACAGTAAAACATCACATTGGGTACTGAAAACATCAGTAAAAACAAGCTGAGGAAATCTCACTGAGGCGGCCTGCTGGAGTTCCCGATAGAGACCAGGGCAAAGCCGAGGGCCCTGCCTTCTGGTGACACTTCCTGCATAAAATAATAAGAGCAGCAGAGAAGTGACATTACCCAATGGCAGAACTGACATTACCAAATGGCAGCTGAGGCATCAGCAGGAGCTTCCCGTTGGCCTTTCTCTCCACGGCTGAGCTCCCATGCCCAGACCTGCAGCTTCTCCTTCCCATCGGAGGCTCGTTCATACCGTGGAGTGAACGGGAGTAACCTCTATTGGAAACGGTTCGCCGTCCAGCCGTTCTCAACAACACGGTGTGTTTGCTCGCGGACTGTTTTGTTGCTTTCCCCTCTCAGTCAACCCCACTTCTGGAGCCAGCTTCTCGGTGAACTCAGACAGCGCAAGCCACTTTGCGAGCACAATGCATGTTGCGCCAGCTTGCCAGCCTCGTGCGTGAAGCCCTGGGGACATTCTGAGTGCCACTTCCTCTCCCACCTGTGGGTGCAGCTAGGGACATGGTGACTGCACAGATGGCACGGGGTTTGTGCGCTGGAAGCCAAGGGGCCTGGTGCCGCTGTGTCTGCTGCTTCTCTGCAGAATTTCTTCCAGGCTTGTGGGAGTCCAGGCTGCGTGAACTGCTACACGGACTGGGCCCGAGGCTGCCAACCTCCGCACGAGACACCAGCTAAACTCAAACCTTAGCAGCTCCATTCCTAGTACTTGACAAAAGAGAAGTTCACATAGAAACCTCTGCGTGTGTGTGCGCACGGCAACAGGGCTCCCATGAGCAGAGGAGAAAGCCCCAGAAAGCCAATTGCAAGTGACCCTGCTAGAACAGCAAGCTAGGTGGTGTGGGGGGGGGCTGAATGGGTGTGTGCAAAGAACAGAAGATAGCCTAAAGCTGACATCATTCCCCAGGTGCCTAGAACATCTCCAAATAGGCAAGCCTGGAGAGCCAATGAGCCTCTGCCTTTCTCTGCCTCCCAGGTTACTATCATCCAATCAGATTATACGCATGTGCTGCTGCACCCAGCTTTTTACATGTGTTCTGGGGATCAAACTCAGGTCCTTGTGCTTTTAAGGCACATGCTCCACCTACTGAGCCATTCCCCAGCCCAGCAAGACAGATTTTGCTGGAGCTGTTGTGTCGGACAGGAGGCTCACAAAGCTGACCTCAACCTGAATGTGACAGAGATAGCTGGGGTTTCACCAACTGAGCAGGGAGGGGCTCAGAGGTGAGGGGTTGCTAAGAAGAATATGGTTAGATGCCCAGGACTGGGGGATTCCTGCAAAGAGCTGGCCAGAGCTATAGGTCTCCAAGGTGGGTGGGTGAGGAAGTGATGGCTTCTTCATGAATTAGGTTAGCAGGGATTTTCTCCTCAGTAGTGGGAGGGCAGGGAAACGGGGTCAGGTCAAGACATAACGGAGAAGGGTGCTCGGAGGAACTGGGATGGTGTCTGATGTTCTTGAGCGGAGCATGGTGGGTGACGCACAACTGTAGTCCCA